GCAGTAACCGATGTCATTTTTGCAAAAACGTCAACAGCATGCACTTTCAGACGAATCCAGGTTCACCGACACCGGTAATCCAATCAGCATTTTGGTGGGTTCAGCGGAGTTCAAAAGCTATTTTCTTCTTCTGGTTATTTCGCAAGTCCCCTCCTCATCTACTCTTATCCACCTAAACAATTAAATTTTTTGGCTGAACATTTAAATATTGTCCCCAAAATGGTCCTTGAATCTGCCACGGCAAAGACCTCAAAAATGTATGTTATCTGCAGAAAAATGGAAAATCATACCGTCAAAATAGATTGTTTGTATTGAAAAACCTTCCCCGATATTAAAGTTTAAATTTTCATTTATGTTTATTCCCTTAGTGCCTTCGCGCGATTATGAGTAATCAATTATTTTTCGTTCCACTAGTGTAAAAATAGCAAAATATTAAAATAAAAATATTAAGTTCTAAGTTTAGCGCATTAAAATCAAAATCATTGGGAAAATGTGTAGTACCGAAATAGTTTGTTCTTTGAATTAAAAATGCAAATTTTTATTAATTGATGTTTTGAAAGTTCCGTGAGTCACAAGTTCTACAAAATACAGTTACAGTTTTACAATGTTCTAAGTTAAGTTTTAAAACCAAAAAAGCTTCAAGTTAAATTTCATTCCTTTCGCAAAAATACCATGTACAATTAATGTTAAAACATAGCATGTAAGTTAAAAAGTAAAAATGTGTACTTTCATTTTAGTTTAAGAAAATTGCTCGACAAGATCTCTATTACATCTTCTTTTTCTTTTCTTTTCTCTTCTTTTTCCTTTCTCTCTCTCTCTTTCTTTCCTCTTCCAAAATATCTTACTTAATTTTTGCTCCTTTAATTCTTCCTAATTTTTCTACAGCTCTACAGTCATTGAGTTGTGACATCTAACATGCATCTTCTACTCTTTGTTTCTCTTTTCTCGCGGTGAAATATCAGGAGCGATTCGGACGAATCTACACATACGATTTTTTCCATTCATAGAAGCAGAGCGCGGTTGCCTGACATCGGCACGCGGATTTTGCACCGGAACTAGACATTTTTCTCTTTAGTAGCGCACCCAAATTCTCTCATTTTTTTTTCTTTCGGTGAAAATATAATCTTTGCAAGATTACATTTTGTCCGGGAGGGGGGAATGTGAGGAGACGCCCAATTTTCCCAGACATTACAGGGGGAAATTGGCAACGTCAGGAGGAGCACCGACTTTAGGAAAAATGCTGATGTCCGCTGGGAAATGCGCATGCGCGCCGCCAGCCGACCCGAGCGTAGGGAGCTGGGCGACTTGCTCGGACGCTCGAGGAAGGCCAGTCTTCGCAACGTGGTCGTCTTGTGCAAGTGCTCAGGGCTCCGGTCTGCACTCGTACGTCATTGACGAACCGCAAAAATCAGACGAACGACTCCGGCTCGCTTTTCAGCACCGGATATTCCTTTCCGAGTCTCTTCCCTTTTAGCTGTCCCATTTCAGTCTTGTCGGGCTCTTGTCCATCGGAATAGGATTGTTAAACTCCAAACAAAGGAATACATTTGAAAAGATCGTCAAGGATAGATTTTGTCTTCTTCATTGACTTCTTCATTTTTGGGAGGGTCACCGACTGCCCCCCAAAAGCCCCCACTGTTGTGTTGCGTCGTGGTCTGCACGAGATCTCTCTCTATAGAGAGACCACGGGCGACCACTGTCCGACACAACAGCCCCCCCCCCTGGAGTCCTGTGACGTCAGCTCGAGATATCTCTCTTTAGAGACGTCCCGTCGGCTGACGTCGCGACGCTCCAGAAAACGACCCCCTTTCGACCCTAATCAGGGTCATCACAATAAAAGCCCAGTATACCAGTTGTACCAACTTGATTTTTGAATTTTTTAAAGTAACAGGTGCATTAAAGCACCTAGAGCAAAATGTGTGGAATCCTGAGGAAATAAACTCCTGACTCAAACCCAACAATACCTCTGCATTGGGTGACAATGTCCCTAACCTTGACAAATTTTTGTATCATTTTCAATTTGCTCATGTAAAGAAGAGAGAATGAGCATAATAGAAAAATAAAGCGAGGTTAACATACATGGATTTGTGTCATACTTAGCATTGTTGTGGATTGATTATTATGAACATGATACATTAACACATGGTGAAAATAATACGATATTCATAATTCCTCAGTACATTATTGTACCATACCTAAAAACCGATTTATCAGCGCTCTACTTAGAAATCCAATTTCCAAAAATTGGAATTTGCTTTTTGGTGCGGAAGGAAATTGTATGATGTATTTATACTTCTAATAACCCTCTTGAATAGAGATGAAAGATTTGAGGAATTCAATGAAAAGTAATTGAGGAAAAGTAAAGACATTTAAAGAAATATTTAAAGATTAAATAAAAAGCTGATAGACGGTGGAAGTCTAATAAATACTGCTGAAATGAGGAGATAAAAGAGAAGTGTTGACACATGAGTCTGAGTTCAGTGGTTTACATAATAAGAATGCAGATCCTTCTTGTTCGAATTGAGTAAAGTTCAAAAAGTATTAAAAATCCCGTATTGGCGGTAGTATTGAAAGCAATTCTTACCCATAGTCTGAATTTCTAGCTGTGGAGATAAGTGACATCTCTGGATGAGAAAGAACGTGAATAAGATTTTACACTTACAAATTAGTGTAGAAGCAAGACGGACTAAGTTATCCGATATTATCAGACGTACCATTATGATCTCAAGTTGAGTAAAATCAATGTGCAATATAGATAGTTCGTTTTTCTGTTTCTGTTGTCATACGTTAGTTTCAGGCAACATACTATCGACTAAGAGCAAAAAGCTCTTGCTTTAATTTCGGAAGTTGACCCTGCCTGATAGGTACACGATTACTGTACCACTCTCGAGTTTCACTCAGTGCTCGAGCGTTGCTGGACTGTGGGGCACATTCAAATTTTGTCTCAGAACAGCTTGCGTACGACAATGTGCAATGTTCCCTGAGTCAAAAATATTGCTTCAAGAATCAACTTTAAGATGGCTCGTGGTAAATTATAATGATACTAAGAACATGTTTGACGTTGGTGCGCCTCAAGTACTTGCGTTTCCAAAGGTAAAGGAAGTATACTTTGATCTACGGCAATTCTGGGAAGGAGAAGAATGCAAGCTTCCTGAAGCAAGCTTACAGAATTCATGAGAGAATACCAAGCGAATACCCATAGGAGCTTATCATGGCAAAAAATCGTTTTACGTTGACGATTTTTTGGGGGGAGCAGATACGGTAGAAGAAACAAGACATGTTAAGGAAGAAGTTGAAGCAGTCACATCCTCAAATAATTCCTTTTGAGAAAATGGGCGTCTAATGACTCTGCAATTCTGAAGACAGGAGCTCAGCAAACCGAGCCTTTATATTTAAACGACAACAGAGCTATTAAAGTGCTTGGAATAGAATGGCATCCGGCAACAGACATTTTCTGTTTCTCAGTAAGACACAAAGCAACTGGTGTGGTCACTAAGCGAATAATATTATCTAAAATCTCCAAATTATTCGATCCATTAGGAATGATCGGCCCAATACTGAAAACCTGGCAAACGTTCGTGGCCAATCGTGTCTCAGAAATCGAAGCTTTTACATCTGAAGAGCACATGCATCCTGGAAATATGTTCCAACCAAAGAAAATCCAGCTGATCTAATATCAAGAAGTATTTCGTCAGCGATGCTTAAAAAATCTGATCTATGGAAATCAGGCCCATGCTGGTTTACGAGTGATTCAAGGTTTTGGCCTAAGCAGTCCATACTTAAATCCTCCATCAAATGGTCAAAGCGAAAAGAAAGTTGTACGAGTCTTTCTTGGAATTCAATCATTCGTCTCAAGTTTAAATGTCTTGCTGGATAGAGTCTCTTCACTGTCAAAGCTGTTGCGAATAGTGGCATATGTGTTAAGATTTGTCAATAATGTTGGTCGGAAAAATACAAAAAATACATCTCAGATATTATTACTTACCAGAGGAATTGGATAACGCTCAAGATGTATGTACAAAATCAATTCAGCATCAAGTTTTCAATCAAGATATCCATGATTTAATGAGCCCACAAGGTGACCTGAAGGGTTCAAGCAGCATAAAAACTTTAAATCCGTTTATGGACTCTAAAGGACTCCTGAGAGTTGGAGGAAGATTGAGGAACTCTAAGGCATCACCTTTAATTCCTTTATTTGGCCAAGTAAGAGCAATAATTTGCTGACTTTAAAATTGTCAAGCGGGGCGCCTTCAATCGTTGGAGCATGCAACATCTCAGGATTAAGTGTGCTGTCAAAAAATGAAGCCGATGTGAAATTTTTTGAATCGAAAACTACTCAACGTAAATCTTCGGAAACTTCCGTGATTTTTCTTCTCACAATCTGTGCTGAGAAAACTCTGTGAAAACTTCAAGGAATCATATTTAATTTTTTTCCTCTAAAAAATCATTTTAGGAGCAGATTTTTAATCACCGCATATTAGACACGTGGTCTGGTAGTTTCACCTTGGATTTGTTTTAGCAGCAAATGAACCAGAAAATAAGTAGGCTCAGCCTTTCAGTGCAGCTGTCCGACTTGAAAGAGACATGCTTCATTTGAAGTACTGGTGGCTACCCACCACAGGCAGGAATATGCGAAATTTGCAGCCAATGACTCGCTAAAAAATGAATTTTTCTGTGTATGACCAACCAAATGAAGCAGATAATGAGTTGAAGGATGAGTGGTCCAAAATTCAGATTTAGAGAAAAATGTCGGGTCATATGCACAAAATTGGCTTATGAGGCGAGCATATTTTCAATTTATAGATTGTGTAAGCGTTACTACCCCAAATTATGCAATAATGTGTAGTAACACATACAACGGCAAGACCGCACAGGGATTAAACTTTGCTCAGTTATTTTTAACTTGATATCCAGAATGTTTCTTCCTTCGCCCTCCTCTATCTGGCATTGGTTTCTTTGGGTTTTATTTGTTCTGGTAAAATTAATATTTTCTTGTTCAGGCTGTAGCATTCCAAATGACCAGTTTAGAAAGTATTAACGAAGCAAGGATGGAGCTGATAGAAGCCCTCGGTGAATTCAAAGATGCGTAAGTAGTTGCAATTCTTTCCTTTCCCCCTCTTAAATCCTTATTATTAATTGCTCACATCTTATTAGTTTTTAGTGAAAAGACTAAGCATGAAATGCCAAGAAATTCAATGCCGGTTAAATTTTGACACTAGTTTTTACTTATGTTCGTTTCAACCTCTGAGATGATGAGCTTTTAAAATCAGACTTTTTATATACTCATCTCTATCATATTTTAAAACAGGTCGAGAAAGTGAATTTGTGGCCGAAAAATTTTTCCCAACTTGTTGCAAACACGTAAACCACGTTTTTCTAAAACCTAAGAACTTTTGTCTACGAACTTTAAGATTACTTAATATTTTCTTCAAATTTTGAGATTTTAGGGTCAACCGTGGGCCAACATTTCATGATTTTCTTCTGCCTCGCATTTCTTTAAAGTTATAAGGAATATTTTCTCTGAAAGGTACGGTTCCTTGTCACACATCTGATCTCTTTTTTGACCTTCTCATTCAACGTGCATGAGCATTATGTAATGGAGATATGGGACTGTGACTATGTCTGTGTGGACGATGTGCAGCACACTGTTCTCATTTGAAGGAACCAGGTCGTTCTCGTCTCTCTCATCTTCCCGGCCTGCGAGGAAGTTTCATCGATCAACAATACGATGTTTTAACATTTCCATTAGACATTGTGTGTACACTGTACGAATACCAAAAAATTCACTTCTCAGCCCAGCTTTCCTAGAGATTCGCACTTCAAAAGTTTGATTTTAAAACCTAAGTGGGCTGTGAGGAACATCATACCAAATAATAACGAAATCTAGTCAGCACTTAACTCCTTGGTATCCTGTCTGTAGCCCTGTGATAAAATCATTTGAAACCATAAACTTGTACGTTCAGAAACTACGGGATCGATTACCTGGTAAATCATCTTAATCCGGAGAATCTGGGTCAATTTTTGAGAGAAGGGAAATTGCGGAGGGGGCGCTGTCCCCCTCTTTAAAGGATCATTTTTGGGCATAAAGTGGTCCGATTTTGGAGTCTTAGGGGTCGATTTCACGTGAAAATGTTTGTACTTTTTAATTCTAATGAAATCAAATCGAAATTTGATCGAAAACCCCGACCTTTCGGATCGTGATCCCCCCCGTTTGCCCCCCCCCCCCCCC